AACTTCCCTTGGAAGAGTCATAAAGGTGGTTTTGTTTGGGAAATGACAGCCTAACATCCATTTTTATTATTTAAAGGTAAGGATGTGTTTTCTAGCCTCTAGCCTGCAGACCAAAGCAGCGTTTGGTGTCCTCACGGTAAATCCCAAACCACGGGAATGAAAACAGCTAGTCTCTATGGTCGCTGCATGACCCCCCTCTCAGTGACCTGCCTGGGAAGCAGGCATCCTGTATGGATTTTGTTCGCCTCTTCCTCTCTCACCTCAAAAGGCAGCTGGTACTGGGGCTGCTCTACTTCTGGTGAGTTCTCAACAGTTATTCCAAGACAGATGAGGAAGCTGCCTTGTGACCTTCCTCTGTCCTCTTCCACTGTCCTCTGGCCATTTCACTGTTCCTGTATATCCAATTAAGAAGGTGGACAGAGGGAATGAAAGGATATGACCTCAATAGGAGAAGATTCTGTTTCTCATTAGAGGGCCTGGTGGAAAAACTAGTTATATAGCGAGGCTTATCAGCCATGAGGTTTGAGAAATTTGCTCGCAATTGCTACACCATCACCCATGAACATTAACGGCCAAAATGAACTATTTTAACCTCTGACCAATGAGAAATATGTTTCAGTTAACCCTTGAACAATGTGGGGAGTTAGGTCCCCACCCACCCCACCATACAGTCGAAAATTCAGTATGACTTTTGATTCCCCCAAAGCTTAAGCTATTACTAGCCTATTGTTGACTAGAAGCCTTCCTGATGACATAAGCAGCTTACACATATTTTGTATGTTATGTGTATTATATACTGTATTCTTATAATGAAGTAAGCTACAGAAAAGAAAATGTTATTAAGAAAATCATAAGGAAGAGAAAATACATTTATAGCACATTTAGGGGGGAAATCCACATATAAGTGAACTGTGCAGTTCAAAGGTTCAACTGTGTTGTTCAAGGTTCAACTGCGTACTATTATGAAAAACCGTTAATAAGATGTAATTATGTGCTTCTTTCCACCTTGGCACCCTCTCTTCCATCTCGGCTGCTTCCCCTCCGCTCACACTCCCATATCTCATGCTCTTTATCCAGCAGCTGTTCCCATAGCAACATGGTCAAGCTGGCTGTGTTTTCACAAGGGTTTCTGGAATATGAAAATCATGAGGCCTTAAAGAAGCATGATCTAACAGCAGAATTTTGGGGACTGTGTAAGAGCCGAGAGCAAAGACAGGAATCCTCTCTAATGTTAGCCTAGTGAACTGTTTTCCTTTGAGATCAATTTTCAAAATCCTTTGATGATTATTCCTATCAATTCTATTTATTAGGAAAGAAGTTTCTGAGGTCAAGCATCATTAGTATCCAATAAAAGAGTTCATGTCATTCATTTAAAGATTACTGAATTTTCCCTGTAAGTAGAGAATACCAACTTGGTGGGTTTAGCCACAAGTGAGAATACAGAGTGTGGTCATCACAATACAAAGTGCTATGGAAGTTTAGATATGGGAGAAGTCTTTTGGCTGAAGCAGTTAGTTTCCAACATTAATCTGTTTGGTCCTTAGCGATACTTCCCACCATCTACTTTCATGCCATCAATTCTTTATTTCTCAGTGCTACCCACCTGCCAATCACATGGCGGCCAGGAGCACTGAGGTAGAGGGTTGTTGCAGCTGAATTTAGAGAACAAATGTGTAATCTCAGCTTTGAAATGCAGCAAGTATGGACTCTGAGTAATAGTCAAAGTTTGCTCACAGAATCTATAATTGCAACTGTTCTCTATGACATTCTTTGCTAGGCTGTGGAGCTTCTTTGGCGGGATCCATATGCCAGGCAAGTTGCAAGGCCACCTGTGTTGCCGCCTCATCGCACACACCACTGACATTTCTCACATTCTCATCAATTGCTAAGCCTTTCACTTGATATTCCAAGTCTTTTCCCCTATTCAGATCTAAGTAGAAACTTGTTTGGCAAAAAGGCAGATTATCATCAGTGACATTTGCATTTCACCAAAAGGAGGCTATGAGAGCATTTTCACGGCAATAAAGTAAAAGCAAATGCTTCCTTCCATTCCCTTTGAAGAGTCTTTCTTCCTGATTGAGGGCTTTGGCTTTGCAAGATTTTGGAGATTTGGAAATTGAAAGGAGGTGAGGAGAGTCAGGTGAAAAGTGCTGTCATGAGATCAAGGAAGGTGAATTCTATAACAGCCTGTGTGCTTTGTCATCATCTTTCTCTTATGATCCCAGAGCTGATGGGATCTCAAGCTATGGGACAGCTCTCTCAATGATATTGGCATACTGACAATGTCAGGTTTTTGTATTTTAACACACAATAATGATCAGTTCCATGCTATTATTTGTAACCATAAGAGAGCCTGGCCAGTGATTTGGGGTTACACGATAGGAAGTTGTGACAAGTTGCATCTGAAAATCCCATTCTTCTGTGTTACGTAAGGTTTTTCCCCATGTAGGAGAGGGCAGATTTTTGGTACAGTAATGAAAACCTAAAAGGAACTTGACAATTTCTGCAAAATGAGAATGAGCTAACATGGTGCAAGGTGGTTTTCAGTAGTCTTTCCTCTACTCTGCTTCTGTGAATACATTGGTGGCCCATCTGCTGGAACTAACCAGGCTGCAGAAAAGGGTCCTATCCTATGTCCCTCTCTCCCCGCCCCCTCAAGCTTGGATGCTGAGCTGACTCAGGAGCCTCATCTCTGGGTATTACAATATCCTATGGAAGTTTTACTAAATGAGGGTGGATTTATTTAAATTAGGAGTCAGGTAACTACATTCTATAGGGTAAAAGCAAGCTGTTGCCTGTTTTTATAAAGAAAGTTTGTTAGACAAATAGGCATAGCTGTGTTTCATGTATTATCTCTGGCTCATTCTCACTGAAGAAGCAGGGCTGAATGGTAATTATCACAGATCCTATATGGCCTGAACTATTTGCTATCTGCTTAAACAGAAGGGAGTTTGCTGATTCTCAATGTAAACCATTCTCATTCCATAGTTAGACTACTTTGGGAGACTTAAGGACCTGCCATTCACTGAAGTTGCATACGTCCACCAAAGAAGACTGAAAGATAGCAGGTTACTTGTATTCATGCCCCCCATCTCCACCATTTGCTATTAGTGAAGACTGCAAAGAGTGACAATGATTGAAAATCAACATTTTTGGGGCACTGTGTTAGAAACTGCATAAAGTAGGTCATTTGTATTTCATATGTCAAGGAAATGTAAGCTTTCCTGTAGAAGGGCTCTTAGGGAAACCCCAGAGCAAGCAAACAGGCACACCAAGTATTCACATATAAGGATCCTGGACACTGGAAGGGCATTCTGTTCTCATGAAGCCACTTCCTGCTTATGAGAACCCAGGCACGAAAGGCTGTTGACCTTCATCGCCCAGTTTGAAATGCATTTTCCCTACTGTGCAAGGGCCACAACTGATGATTCTGGGGCACTTGTAGTTCTCATAGGAAGACTGTAAGCAGAGAATGAAAGGTGAAAGGAAAAAGGCAGGAATGAGTGTAGACTCATTCAGCAAATGAACCATAACTTCTGTGGATCCACAGATCCTTTGTGGCAATTATTTTCATGTGATTGGTGAATTAAAAATCATAAACTCTCATGGCCAGAATGGACTAAGGAGTTGATGTAGTTCGAATTCTACAAATTGCATTTGTGGAGAAGGAAATAGGACTAGTAAGTGATGTGTTGAGGCAGACTGGTATGGGGTTGTAGAACCAAGGATGCCTTACAGGGTCCCATCCACCGCCTACCCTTTTTTCTTTGCAAACCAAATTCTATTCTCAGGTTTTTCATTCTTGTCCCTGTGGGTGATCAGAAAGTGAGCTTGACATAGTCATGGTGTTCATGGGTTATACATGAGACATCTTCTTCCTTTGTCAAAGTTGCTGGGAAATAGTCAACCTAATTTTTTTTTTCCTGTACACTCAAACATTTTTGTGTTCTTTCATTTTCAATATATGACTCTCAAGAATGTATCTATTCTTTCTGGGCTTGTCTGTCTCTGCAAATTCCATTTTCTTTTACAGCAATGCATCGTTCCCTGATTTTCTTCTCTGAGTCTGACTGCCTTCTAGTTGGGTCCTTCGTTCCTGGATTCTGGATCCCTTTTGAAACAGGGAACGGCACTCTATAATTTCTTGGCAGACACCTACCTCCCCTTCAGAGAAGAAAGAGTCAGGTAGGATGTCTGTGAAAATAAAGAACACAAAACGGAAATGATAGAGCAAGCCAAACAGTAAGAAAATAAGGCTTTGCCTCAAAAAGGAAAAAAAAAAAAGAGTAACAGAGAAGAAGGGATGTAAATGGTTCTGGCGAAACTTGTTCTCTTTTCTAATCATTCTGGGGCATAAGGGGAGGTCAGGGTGGGGGGCCAGGGCCCTCTCCCTGCTAGTTATCCTACAAGTTCAGCAGGAGCTGCCTACCCATTGGTGCTGCTCGGGATGCCATCACTCTTGCTTCTTCTCATCGAAAGTAATCCAGCCCATTATGAATCTCTCTATTCAACTCTCAACTACAATGTTAGTATAGTAACGGGAGTCTGACACAGAGGCATGCACTTGCACTTTTGTAGGCTGAGCAAGTCCCCATTAAAGGTTAAACCACACATAAGGTGGTCTGATGCTAGGGAGAGGGTTTATGCAGCTTACTTGTTTGTTTCTATTATCACTGGCTCAAGACCATGCTAGCATCTCCAAGTACCAAGATGACCCAGTCTCTACCCCCATTTGGGTGGCCCAAATTAGCCAATCTAATGATGGACCAGGACCAAAGTAAGACTTTTCTATGACATTTCCAAAGACAGAATGGGTGGAAGGAAATGCCACACACAGGGTCCTGTTCTTGTTCTTTGCCTAGCTACATAGCTAGGCCTCACGTGAAATACAGCCAGAGGGATCTATAAAGGCATCAGGGTCTGGAAACCATGTGGATGCACCCAACCCCCTTTGTTTTTCAAAACTGTCAGTAACCTCTTTCAAGTTTACCCCCAATTACCTGTTGATGCTGTTTTTCTGTGCTAACATCTGCCAGTCCTTGCCTTTGGCATTGGGAGTATCGAATGTAGCACAGATCCGCTGTCTGATGGAGTAGGGGATTTTGAAGGCTTTGGGACCAGTCTGTGCAGGGAAAGTGCTATCCTCTTGTGCAAAGAAAGTGATGGTTTCTCTTTCACTCTATAAACAAAGAAAGCATGGTCAGATCTAAACGGAAGTGTTACTGGTCAACACTTTTATTTTTTTAAGAAAATCTATTAACACACATGCACAAAATGCTTGGCTTCTGTCATGGACTCTGTAACATACATTGAAATGTTCCCCTTTCCTCTAAAATAGTAAATAACTTCTCTAATAGCCTAGTGAATCATGAACTGGAGATTTACAACAGTGCCTTACACTCGAGGGAGTCATAATCATCAAGGAGATGTCAGGTGACAGCAGAATTAAACCTTTTTTTTTTTTTTTTTTTTTTACTCTCAGGGATGGATCTAGAATCAGTAGGAAGAAGTCCCCAAATGACAGATTTCAGTTCTATGAAAAGAATGACCCTGGTGATAGTCAGAGCTGACCAAAGATGAATAAGCTTAATCAAAGCTGCTGGCTAGGCAGGTACCCAACAGGAAAGCTACAAAGAGCAAATGATTGTTTACTGATCAACTTTAAGTTTGTGTTGCCCTGTTCTGGGATGTGAAGTGTGTGATTCCATAGTAAATATTCTGGTCTTGTTTCAGAATTACATTGCTTTGGTCATATACAAGCCAGCGAGGAGTCAGTGAGGAGGTCTAGAGCCTGTGGAGTGGCACAGGCTGGCCAGCTTCTGCCTGCTGTCTTCCCACCCCTGCCTTCTGATTTAGAGCTATCCAGGGAGGACTGGTTATTTCAGTGCATGCCAGAAATCAGATCATCATCTCCAACATAAAACCATATAGACATTGGTCAAATTAAAGTGGCTGCTGATAAGTTTATGTGAACCAACAGAATTTTAAAGCCTGAAAAGTATCTGACTGAATCCTTCCTGCAATTATGATATGCTACAAATCACAAGGGTTTCTGTAAATGTCACTAAGGCCTCTATAATCAGTTGACTATGAGTTGACCAAGAGAGATTTTCCTGGGTGGGCCTGACCTAATCAGGTGGCCCTTAGAAGAGAGAAGAGGCAGCTCTTATCTGGAGGCATCTCTCCTGCTGGCCTGGTAGAAAACAAACAGCAAGGCTGTGAACTGTCCATAGAGCAGGACAGGGGGCGAGGGTCCAAGGGCATCCCCTAGAGCTGAGAGTGACTCCAGTCTAAGAGACAGCAAGAAAATAAGGACCTCAGTCCTCTAGCTACTATTATTGGCCAATAATCCAAATAAGCTTGGAAAAGGACTCTGAACTCTAGCCTAGAACATATCCCCAGCCACTACCTTGATCTCAGCCTTGTGAGATCCTAATCAGAAAACCCACGGGCACCTGGATGGTGGTTAAGTGGTGAAGTATCTGCCTTCAGCTCAGGTCATGATCCCAGGACTCTGGGATTGAGCCCCACATCAGGCTCCCTGAGCCTGCTTCTGCCTCCTGCCACTCCCCCTGCTTGTGTGTGCAAGCATATGCTCTCCCTCTCTGTCATAAATACATCTTAAAAAAACCCAAAATGAAACAATTATGCCATGCCTAGACTTTCAACCTACAAAAAATGTGAGACAGTAAATAGGCATTGTTTTATTCTATTAAGTTTATGATAATTTGTCATATAGCAAAAAAGAAAATATAATAATAATATAAAGAGAACTTAAAGCATCATGTCTGAGATGGGGTTAAGGGACTTGGTTAGGACTGTTTAAACCACAAGAAACTGTCCTTCATGGTAGGAATTTGTCATCTCGTGTTTTCCTTCAAGGTAACACGTGCCATTTCTGAGCTGTTCTGTGATCCTGCCTTCAAGTTTTTTTGAACCTTAACGCCTCTTCCTACTTCGGGCACCAGAGCCAGGAGAGCCCTTCCTGGCAAGTGCCCAGGCTCACATGGCTATACACCTTTAGACTCAGTAAGTCTTATGTCTTTAAGAATCTGTTAATTGAGGAAGCTGGTTCACACAGAGATCTTATTAATGATTGATAATATGTTTTGATATTTCATAACCATTTGACAAAGTTACATTTTGAGGGCTCTATCTTGGAAATACAGTGCCTTTATGCAGTATTTCCAAAAGGGTATTTCAGAAGATGTTCCCAGAAAGAGCAGATCTATGGTCAAATACATTTGGGAAATCCTGCATATTATATCTTCTGCTTGGAAATTCAAAGTACATATTATCATATTAAACAGATTCTACTTACTGTTCTATTCCTTCAGAATATTATAGAACAACACTCATCAAAATTCTTCCAGTATTTCATGATAGCATGGGATAATAGAAAATCATAGTTTTCAGAGGTAGAGAGACCTTGCTTTGGAAGATGCTTTTATACTTCCTAGATCAGTGACCTTGGATGCTTCATGATGCTTCTGTCCCAATTTCCTAATCAGTCTTTGGCCTTTTTTATAGACCCCACAAAGGTTATGAAATGTAGTGAAAGTTACCCAGGTCAGTTTGTACATGGCTGAAACTAGCAGTCTGATTTCCTAATACCTATACCAGGATTCATTTCACTATGCCATCCTGCTTGAAGACAAGCAGGTGGTTAAGAAAAATGCTGAGCATTATTAGATTTATGCTTCAGGAATTAAGAGCAGGAAGGGCTTCCTGTTGGAGGCATATGGGTTGGCTTTGGAGGATGAGTAGCTATTGACTCAGTAGAAACTGAATGGGTAACTAGTTATTTTTGGTGAAACATACAACTCTTATTCTGATATGTTGGATTGTTATAAAATGAACCAACTCAGGCTTCTTAGTGCATGAAGTAGGTTACGAGAAACAACATTTTATTTTATTTTTTTATTTTTTAATGAAATTTTTAATTTTTATTTATTTATGATAGTCACAGAGAGAGAGAGAGAGAGGCGCAGAGACATAGGCAGAGGGAGAAGCAGGCTCCATGCACCGGGAGCCCCACGCGGGATTCGATCCTGGGTCTCCAGGATCGCGCCCTGGGCCAAAGGCAGGCCCCAAACCGCTGCGCCACCCAGGGATCCCGAGAAACAACATTTTAATCGTGGTTTGTAAAATTTCTTCTGACCTTTAAAAATGTAAAGCAAAAACAGTCAGTCTCCTTCAATTTCCTGACTTAAGGGAGAATGAGGTCCTTTAAAAAGATGGTGGAAACTATAGAGAGAAAAAAAGAATTCTATGCAAGACAACATGAGAGCTTGTCATTGTAAACTGGCATGAAAGGGTGTTAACATGTCAAAAAGTGGCTTGCCAGCAAAATTGAAAGCACTGGAAGCATCCATGATAAAAGATTCCAAGAGACTGAACTGGCTTTGAGTGGAGCAAGCTGATCAAGCTCTCTTTACTGTTGGCAGAAGGGAGACCACCCTGATCCACAGTCTTCAGGACAGAAGTGGTAGGATTTCAGAGTGAATAAAATATTATATGAGAATGACTCTTAAGTATTTTTTCTATTTTGGACACTTTAATAAGTGGGCCCCTGGTTTCCTTCTAAAGTTTCTCAATTTAAATATTTGCCATGCATAAGGATGACACTTTATGCAACATTTATGGTGCATTCTAAAAGACAGCTGGGCCAAGTAATAAGAATCCTGTAGATACATCACATTGTCTGATTGTTTAAATTAAATATGCAGAGGAACAGCAGATTTTCATGCTCTGCACATCTGAGATAAGCGGCTGCTACTTGGCTAGCTGGGGAGTTGTAAATCAATGAGAAATTCCAAGTATTCTGTCTATTTTGCAACAGACAAATCATCCCCCAACCTTCCACCACTTTTGGAAGAAAGATAAGGGAACTGCTTGAAGGGAAAATTGTAACATGCAAGTTTCGCATTTAAGTTCTTTCTTCAAAAAAAAAAAAAAGGCTTCTTCAATAATATTACATTAACAAGGGATGATGCAATAAATGACTTAGGGATTCTTCCATTCTCTTCAATATTAGTAAAATGATTTCGCTTTGGACTACAATTTTTAGATCAGGGATACCGTTGCTTTTGTAGACTATCAATTGGCAATAATCATTAGGTAATCCAATGAGGTTACATTTAAATAGAACCCTCCCGCTTCTACAGATTGGCACAATAATGGCCACTCTAAGGAACAGAAAAAATATACTGTCTTGATCACTGAAATAATTTTTAAGTGCGAGAATGATGTGAATGACTGTATTTATTTGGAAAGCCATTTAGATGAGAAGGCATGAAGGTATATGATGATGTGAGGCTTAATGTAAGGAACCAAGGACCTTCAGTGAGGATAATCACGGCATTGATTCAGATATTTATTTATTTATTTATTTATTTATTTATTTATTAATATTTTTTTAATTTTTATTTATTTATGATAGTCACAGAGAGAGAGAGAGAGAGAGAGAGGCAGAGACACAGGCAGAGGGAGAAGCAGGCTCCATGTGCTGGGAGCCCGACGTGGGATTCGATCCCGAGTCTCCAGGATCGCGCCCTGGGCCAAAGGCAGGTGCCAAACCGCTGCGCCACCCAGGGATCCCGATTCAGATATTTAAAACAAATGTTATCTTATATATACAATGACATACATCTATATGTATCTCTTTTACCTCTCACGGTACCATTGTTAAATTTGTGAAACAGACCCTAAGATCATACATTAAAATAAGTTAGAAGTTGGAGCTCTGAGCTTAACTAGACAGGGATTTTTGTTTGTTTTTTGGAGTGGGGAAAGGGGCAGATACTTAAAAAAAATTCAGACATCTATTGAAAGCTTGAGAAGATTTATTTCCTTATTATTATTATTATTATTATTATTATCTTTAATCAATGAAACCCTATTACTAACTTATTAAAACCACCTAATGCAGGGTCTTTCAACCTAAAAGCCATAAAGTATGATGCACTTACTGACTAATACAATTCATGTCTAGAATGCATCTTGACTCCTCAAGGTAATCCTAGCTTCTCAGCACTTTATGTATCTTCACTTTTTCTGGAACCATCTACAACTAGAATCCAAGTCATTTTTAGGAAGAAGAGAATGCTTTGTATTCACTAGATCTATCCTCAGTTCTATGCTTCTTCCAGGAATGAGACAGTCCTGGAGTTGGAAGGAACATTAGTGATCGATCATACACTCAAGATCTTCCATTGCAGGTGGACTGACATGTGGGAAATCTATTCTATTCTCGAAGACCTATAGAATGAACCCTTATTCCGGCCCAGCCCAGTCCAACTTTCTGCAGTCTTGAGGAAAGAACTTCCCAATTTTCATCTAATTTCATACTCAAAGACAAAATTTATGGTGCTACGATGTTTGTCACTAGTGCCTAAGCATCCTCTCACCCTCCCAAAGGAAGACTTACATTACACACAAAGCCCATAATCAGTATTATTAAATTAGACTTCCCTGATTGGGATCTGGAAGCAGTCTAGTATGGAAATCCAGACTTTGACCTGGACATCCTATAACTGGGTTGGGAACTCTTGCTCCCCATTGTTGGCTTTATCATCTGGGATAGAAAGTTTAAAGATTATTCAGATGCTTGCCTTTTATTATCAAGACATATGGTGGTGTCCTCTTTTTCAAAGCATTTCAAAGTGTAAGCTTGCTAAGCATTAGACCAGGAAATGGAGAGTAAAGGGTAAGACTGTGCTTATTAGCTCATTTTCCTCCTGTTCACTTCAAAAATTTGCTTGAGTGGGGAGGACAGGTACCAGGCTATCTCAACTCCATCACAGTCCTTATACATGGATTTCCTGTAATAGTAGGAGTTGGTCCTCACCATCTAAGTACCTTAAAAAATAAAAACCTTTTAAACCTGGAATTGTTGTATTGATCTGTGATCAGACATTTAGGGAGTTTGCATCAGAGGTTATCTTTCCGTCCCACCTCTTCATGCTTGCTTCTGAATGCCAGAAGGAAAATCTGCTTGGATTTTCCTTTTGTATTTATTTTAAAACTTTCCTGCAATTTTTTTATTTTACTTTGAAATGTATTGTGTTAAATATGCCATGACTGTTCAAGAAAGAGATGCTCAAAATATCCTACCCTATGTTTCTGGATCTACCTTGCCCATCAAAACTAGTTTAGCATACAATGTTAATTGGCAATAATGAATGCAAATACTGTACAAACATGTCAGTTAAGACAGCTATCAATTTTGAGGCACAATCCTTTAGAAAGCCATCCACTCTTCAGAAAAACTATTTGGGGAATTAGCAATGCTCATTTTGCATAAACAATGAATTGAAATGAGAATGGAGTGAAGTGATAATGCTGTAAGACTACAAGTTTTCAAAGAAAAAAAAACAAATTGAGTGGTATGTATATAACATTTGTTAGGCCTTCTGCCAAGCCTGAATGAATAAATATACATTATTTATATATTTATACATAAATATGTATGTGTGTATGTCTGTATACATGCACGCATATGTACATATGCTACTGATGAGCAATAAAATGTGTTTTTCTACCCTAGCCAGGGATTACCTTGTCATTGCTCAACAAAAGCATCTCATGTCTCCCCTGATTCTACCCCTCAGCTGCTCTCTCTCTCTCCCTTTAAATAACCAGGCAGGTGGGAATGCCATTGTCTCCTTTCTAAGCCAAATACATAGCCATGATGAAGCCATTCGGTGGTTTAGGGCAAATCAGAGCCATGGCAGAAATTAGGTGTCTTTTTGCAAAAGTGAATTCTCCTCTGACTCCCATTCTACCTTTGCCCTTTAATAATGATATGACCTTGGACAGTATCCTCTCCCTCTCTGCACTTGCATTTCCTTACTTTGTAGAATGAGACTTCTGTCTACTTTGTCGTACATTATTGCATCGATGAATCTAGATTTAATGGAAACTGGGCTATGGGGGATATGAGACATTGTATGACAGCAGGGAACCAAGGTCCTGAAGATAACTTATGGAAAAATGGTCAGAACCGTAGAAAAACAGCCCAATGGTGACCTCGTGCCTCTTCCAGGTCTGTGTCTCAAATGTACCATCAGTCTACAAATGAACCACAGGTGATACTCCAAACCTACAAAGGACGATTAGATGGTTTGTAGTTCTGTGCATAAAACCAGTGCTTTCCCCTAAAATTTAGCTCTCCACAGAGCCTCATCTCTGATGGGTTGAGTTTCTCAGCCCAACAGGAAGCTCAGTTCAACCCTCAGCTTGAGGAAGAAGTTGATTTGCCCTTATCGGTAATGATGCTTAAGAGTGAGTACATTCTGAAGCTCTTTTAGAACCTGTGTAACACGACTGAAATAGGTACATTTATCTTCCTGTCCTGTAGAAATGGGGTCAAGTGGTCCTGCGGACTAAGGACTCACCTCTAGGATGGATGTCTGCACTTGGAGGATCTGTTCATGGCCTTTGAGCTGCCGGATGCAGATTTTGCAGGACAGCTGGGTGGTGGTGGGCGTGTAGCGCTCCAGGGAGAAGGCACAGTGCAAGGGTTGCCAGTTACTGCACCACACGCGGGAGAAAGGGACTTCCTGCAGGAAAACAGGGGAGAGAAGAGGGGTCTGGTGTGCAGAGCCTGGCTGAGAGGAGAGGCTTAATAGCAATAATTATGATGATGATGACAATGATTGCAGCAGAGATAATTGCCTGAGCAACTTTGGTGAAACTGTTGTAGAAATAATGTTCCAGCATATGCCAAGCAGCACAAAAAGTAATTAATGTCAATTCCAATGGATAACATTTGAATTCCAAAACCACAGCGCAAGAACTCAGATTTCACTTGGTGACACACAGTTAGGATACCATCAAAAATTAATCCTCATGCTTTTCCACTAAAAAAAAATATTCTTTAGAAGACTCCTCTGGTCCATCCTTCTCCCTAAGCCTGGGGTAGGATGATATCTTTTCACTTAAATGAAAATTTTGCGAAAGAACTCACTGACCAAGGGGCACCTGGGTGGGTCAGTCTGTTAACGTCTGCCTTTGGCTCAGGTCATGATCTTGGGGTCCTGAGTTCAAGCCCCACATCAGGATCCCTGCTCAGTGGTGAGTCTGTTTCTCCCTATCCCTCTGTCCCTCCCCCCACTTGTGTTCTCGTGCACTCTCCCTCTAAAATAAATAAAATCTTAAAAAAAACCCAAACACCTGACCAGCACTTATCCCAACACCACAAACTTATATAGAATTGTGTAAAAGAACACACTATTGCTAGTGTATCCACCATAAAACATTATACATCCTACCAATCACAAGAGTACATACACACACATATACGCACACCAGAGAGAGACACAAACACTAGGCTGCCCAGAATAGTCTTGTTTGTCAACTCCTCATTCACTTAATTCATCTGTTCCACAATTATGTGCATGGTGCTTGCTCATGACCATAAGCTATACAAGATAAACAATTAAGAAACTAGGTTCAGTCTGTACCATCATGGGACTCACAGACAATTGAGTGGCAAAAGGGGTTTTTACTGTGAGGGGGGAAATAATAAAATCTATATACACCAGCCTTTTTTCCTATTACTAGTCAGTGTATGCCCGATTAGGCTATGCTCAGGCATGTGGCTTTACAACAATGTGAACTAGAGGTCACTCATTGATATTCTTTCATCTACTAAAAAGTCTCTCCTTCCTACTTTAATCAAGCTGAGATTCTTGGCAATGACCATGTATGACCAGCCTCTAGTAACGTTCATCTTCACCTTTTTCTCTTTTTTTCATTTCATTAATGTGTTCTTTTTTACCTTTCACTAAAGATATAATTTTCTCCAATATTAACACTGGCAGGTGGCAGAAGATACATCGGGTTTGGAGGTTTGATATTCTGAAGTGTGACTGGTGATGAAGCCATCATGTGTTATAAGATCGGGGGTCATGATTAAAATTCAATCAACTCACTGTGAGGAACTAGGAGTTACCAGAATTCTTTTTTTTTTCTTTTTAAGATTTTATTTATTCATTCATAGAGACAGAGACTGAGAGAGAGGGAGGCAGAGACACAGGCAGAGGGAGAAGCAGGCTCCACACAGGGAGCCGGACATGGGACTCTATCCCGTGTCTCCAGGATCAGGCCCCGGGCTGCAGGGGGCGCTAATCCACTGCGCCACCAGGGCTGCCCTTCTTTCAGAATTCTAATGGGCACATTGCTTGTTTCTTAGTTTTCTCTACTGGAAGTCTCACAGACCCGGATTTTGGATGATTCACGGGGGGGGACCAGCAAGGAAGGACAGCCTTTGATTGTTGCCCACTTGAAGAGAGGAACACTAGCTGTAGGGAGTCTGAGAGAAGAAACTCATGCCCTAACCACTACCATACATCCCAGCAAGGAATATAAGGCTTTGTGGTCTTGTTTCATTTGTTCTTAATCCTGAATCAAGGGAGAGGAACTGGAATTTTCTTTTTTTTTTTTTTTTAATTTTTATTTATTTATGATAGTCACAGAGAGAGGGAGAGAGAGAGGCAGAGACACAGGCAGAGGGAGAAGCAGGCTCCATGCACCGGGAGCCCGACGTGGGATTCGATCCCGGGTCTCCAGGATCGCGCCCTGAGCCAAAGGCAGGCGCCAAACCGCTGCGCCACCCAGGGATCCCCGGAACTGGAATTTTCATCTCAAGATGCAGTCAGGGACTGAGAGAAGGTCTGGTTGGTGAGGTAGCCCAGCCATCTTTGGAGGAAGTCATTTTCCTGACAACACTCAAAAATGACTTTTCACATGCACCAAATTCTACACCGGATAAAAGAAATAATGACATGCATTTACAAGTTCTGTCATTTCTTCTTGTTGTCCAACCCAAATCTTTCTGTGCTTCTCCCCCTAAGGCTTCTCCCATGTTGGAGGCCATGGGTAACCCTTACTTCAACACTTCTGTCTGCTTGCTGACTCTTCAAGATCCTATCTGTTCACAGACTCCTTGCCACCTCTCTGTGGAGAACTCTCAATAGCTGTATCTTTGGAAGTTATCTCATTATCAATCACTGACATTATACTTCTAATCATTTTATTTGGCCTTTACTTTCTCCAACAACTCTACCTTTTCAAAACAGATTATCACCATTCACTGTCTGTCCTCCAATTTTCTTCTCTCCATTAATGATCCTCTTCTCTCCTCATTAGAGCTAACTGTGGTGACCTGCTCCCCAATCTCCTGCCTTCAGTCTCTATGACATGGAGCTAATGAGGGGGTTAGGGCTTGTCCAGAGAGGCAAACAGGAAGCAGGTTATTGGTGTTCTTTAGGAAATAACACTGCAGTGTCTCTTCTACCTCTAATCATGAGTAGGGGACACGGATGTGACCAGATCTCCTGGGAACTCTGTTTTCATTACAAGAATCCTTTGCATTGGGGCCCAGTATGGCCCCCTGATACCTGCCACATTTAACAGAGTCTCCTGCCTGGCCCTCCGGGGCTTCCATCGTCTATTGTCCTATCTTCATTTTAATAGCCCTCAAATAAACTCTCCTTTAAGCAAGTATGTTGTTGTTGTTGTTGCTGTTGTTGTTTATATAGAGTTATTTTGCAACAACCTCCTTTCATGAAAGAAACTCTAAGATAGGGCTCCATGGTTAACAGGTACTTTTGCCTAATTAAGAAAACTAAAGGGACACCTGGGTGGCTCCGTTGGTTAAGTATCTGACTTGATTTATTTATTTTTTTATTTATTTTTATTTATTTACAATAGTCATACAGAGAGAGAGAGAGAGAGGCAGAGACACAGGCAGAGGGAGAAGCAGGCTCCATGCACCGGGAGCCCGACGTGGGATTCGATCCCGGGTCTCCAGGATCGCGCCCTGGGCCAAAGGCAGGCGCCAAACCGCTGTGCCACCCAGGGATCCCCTGACTTGATTTCAGTTCATGTCATGATCTCAGGGTTGTGAGATGGAGCCTTAATTCTAGAGCCTGCCTAAGATTCTCTCTCTCTTTCCCCCACCAACTCTAAAAAACAAAACAAAACAAAACAAATCAACAAACCCAACAACAATAACAACACCAAAGAACAAAAAGCTAAGGTTTTTGTGTTTTTAAATAGAAATTTGAGTCATTACAGTATAATATAAGTTCTTAAGGATCAGGGCCAGACAGAGCTGAATTCAAGGTGCCGCTCTTAAACTAACCTCCACGTTGTGCAGTGGATCTGAATCCTTGCTAATTCTTCCTTTCCTAAAAAACAAAACAATGGTACTGACCATTTATTGAAAAGTGTCTTCTCTGGTATACTTTGCTACATTTCTTATATTTTCTCCAGAGAATGCTGGCAGAAAGGTAAGAGAATCATGCTCACTGCAGAGATAATCTTCCCTTGCAGAAAGATATGAGAATCAGCACACACACACTCCTCTCTTTTCTTTTTACATTCCACTGCACACAATCAAAACATTTTAAAAATCTGATTTTAAGATCATATCAAAAGAATATTCCTTTTTATTGTTGGGTTGAGTAGCAGCTGCCAAAAGTGCTCAACAAAACATTTAAAAGTAATAGAATTAGAAGCGCTGTGATTAGTGTGTTTTCAGGGCAACCATCTTTGCTTTCAGTTATTAAAAAAAGAACAAACTATCAAGATGCTCACTGAGCGAGAGGAATGATGTGGCAAGTAATATGGGAGGACAAAGTGTAGCAAAGTTATGGGTGTTTAAAGAATTCCGGAAATGTTTTCATTTTGATTCCCATTATAATTAGGTTCCTAGCAGATGGAGAGAATGTAAATCACATCCTAGCAGGAGACAGACACAGGGTTCCCCAAGACACAAAGTATGCTGAAAAGAAAGCTGCTTTTATTCTAGGGAGGTGACAGCTCGTATTTGTGTTTTGTAGGATTTAAAAAATATTTTATTGTATACTGTTTATTCCAGCTTCTCCACCCCATAGTCAGCAACAAATAGCAGAATGGGTGATTCTGTAGCACCCAGGTCCCAGTAACCTATGGGGAGCAGAGCTATTTATTTACCTCCTAGACAAGGTCTGCTAAATCTGTGGAGGGGATCTCTAACTGTGGTCAAGTCTTAAAAAGCCTGAGAAGAGAAGAAATACTTTTTTTTTTCAGGGGAGGGGAAAGGGAAGACCAGCACTACGGGTTGTAGCATAGCATTTTGTCAACTCTAATCCTCCAGAAGCTAACCTAACAAGATTTCAAAGCCAGCTGGTCTGACTCTGGATCTAACCTTGAATTTACACCATTCTAAGAACATTCCTTGTGCAGTTGGTTGGTGTCTCATGGGGCAAATATTCTAGGCAGTGGGTATCTCCTAGGCCTGAAAATTCCCGGTAAATGCCAGCTATCCCAGAAGAAGAAAGTAAGGTTTCTTAGGAGAGCAGGCTTTGGGTGCCAGCTGGAATATGTCGCCTCTCAGATTCCAAAATTAAAGTTAGAGAAAGAGGGAGAGGAAGACCAGAGTTCTTCCATGCATTGAGCTGGAAGATGACAGAAGATGACAGGGAGATTTACCAGTTGAAGGAGAGACCTATAAATGATGTCAGGAAGAGTGAGATTTTCTGTCTCTGCAATAGCTCTCGGTTAGTTCCCATCCACTAAGCCCTAATGAAAAGCCATTCTCTATTATCCACGCCAAGTTTATCAGTGCACATCATGTTCTACATGAAGTTCAAGCAGGATGAGCACAAACCCTCCCCAAAGGGCTTACATCTGATGCCTGGAGCAAACACAGCATGGCCATTAAGAGCAGCACAATACGCATTCATACAAGCTAGGGGATTTTAGTGATGACAGAGGCAAGAAAATTGGCGGCAAGGGTGGTGGTGGCAGGGAAAGGAGGAACGGAGCAGAAAGCCATTTGTGGGTAAGAAAAATGAAGTGGAAATGAAACTCAGTGGCAAACCCCTGGTGCAGAGAAAATTAAATTATTTCTCAGCCTTCCAAGACTCTTTCAAATTATGCTCAATTACAGAAGGCAAATATTTATCCATGTTCACAACATCCATGCAATCCAAGCCATCCCAGCAGTAAAGCTTGTTGGGTTTCCTTGTGAGCCAATGCCCTTTTTCTTTGGTTGGCCTCTGTGGCATGTTTTGAGGTCCACAAGTTCTTAGGCCCCCACACCTTTCCTGCCCTGGACCCTCCTTGGAATTCCTGGTACTGGAATTATTGTTTAAGTGCTAGTGCAAGGTTATGGTCCTTTCATCTGACTTTTTTTTTTTTTTTATTTCTAAGCATTAAACTTAATAGTTACTTGGATTGAGGCACTTGCATTAAATCCAGTAGAAAGATGCCTTTAAGCCTATAAAGATTAATACAGAGGAATTTATGTGACTACCAGGATTTGTTTTAACAATGCCCTGAAGTTCAATTTGGACTGGAAACTTTGAATATGCTTTCCTGGAAACAGAGACACCTAGGTCTTAGAATATCATAAACGACCCATTTATTCATGGAAAAACCTCTCAGCATAAGGAAATATGCTGAATGTGTCAAAAAAATTGTTTGGGGCCATGAGAGATGCTCCTGTTGCTCTGAATGCTCTGAAAGAGTACACAAGGGGCAGTTCCAAAGGTAATGAGAAGTCTGAAAAGTAAACAGGAAAATACAACCTTGTCCACTCTGAAAAACATGAATTTTTGAAGGCAAAAGGGTTGGTGGTTCAACTTTTTTTTCTAACTCTCATGACTCAGGCAAGGTTTTTCTCTCTGTGATTTGGCTTGTTCTCATTCTGACAAGCTGGTTCATCTTGTGCATGTTTTTGGTTTTTGTTTTTAATAAATGTCACAAGAATGGAAAGGTTAAAACCCCACAAAGCTCCATAGGTTATGATAGAACTGAGACATCTGAAAGCCTCCTGTGATCCCAGATCAATCTGAGCCCACCAGAAGCTTTTTCCAAAGCTAAGGAAATGTCCTGTCACCTGGTGACTTTGATTTAGGGAAAGACTGTAGACCAGCCAGCTGCTTGTGATGACAGTACTCATCAGTGGGGATTTCTATAGAATTCGGTGGCAGAGTCACACATCGATAAGAGATCTTTCTATGCTAAGCAATTACTCAAATTCCCTAAAAGTGATCTGAGGAGACTCAAGTCATTTTGCAATGTTTTAAAATTTTTTGATAGAGGAACAATAATACAGAATATCTTTATATATTTGTTAAAGGGCCCTAAAAGGCATTATTCTTTCTCTCGCTCTCAGTTTACAATTTCCTCTTCCCATCTTACTCAGCTTACTTGGTGGCAAGCACTTCATGTTCAGAACAGAGTCTCTGGTGCCTACCTGGCCAGCCAGGGCTCCCCACAATTCAAAATTGTCACCCTTAAAGGATTGACATTAGGGGTGCCAGGGTGGCTAAGAGGCTAAGTGTCTGCCTTGGGCTTAGGTCGTGATCCCAGGGTCCTGGGATTGAGTCCTGCATCTTCTCCCTTTGCCTCTGCCTCTGCCTCTCTTTGTCTCTCTCTCTCTCTCTCTGTCTGTCTCTCATGAACTAAAAAAAAAAAAAAAAAGAAAGAAAGAAAGAAAGGAAAGAAAGAAAGAAAGAAAGAAAGAAAGAAAGAAAGAAAGAAAGAAATCTAAACAACTGACATCCAGATCATTCATTGTTGACCATGATTAAAATAGTGTCTCGTAATGAACTGGTTTTAATTAAAACAAACACCACACCAACCCTGCTCTAAGTTGTTAAATGACTATCTTGAACCTATACTGAGCAAGAGTGTAAGTGGGAGAGAGGAGAAATTTTACATTGCCTGACTGACATCAAGCATCTTTTCCCCCTACCTGTAGAAACCTGTGAGTTGATGTCAATATGATTGATTCCCTGTGTGTCGTCTAAACTGCTACATTTCTGTGACAGTTCTGAAATTAAATCCATACTTTCAAAGGAGAAGGTAAGTCAAGAGTACCCTTGCTACGGTTTAGTGACGTGCTTGCTGGTTAAAGCAAAGCTATTTCTGTCAGCAGCCCATTTGGCCAGTACCTGGCATGCAGTGAATGGTTTGATTCTCCAGAGGAATGGAGGGATATCCAGGACAGAGATCTGAAGACTGAAGGTGTTCCCTTTGAAATGCAGCAACTTTGGCTCTTCCAGTAGCTGTCCACCTTGATGTCTTTCATCTGAAACCACTTCCTTTAGGGCAGGAAAGAGAAAAGAGGCATAACAATGAAGTGTCTAATTTCCAACACGTTGCTTTCTATAGATAGGTACGCTCACTACCATGTGTCTTCTAGAAATAGACAAACAGCATCACAGACACACACTTCTTTGGTTCCCCCATATCCTTGTAAGGTCAGGGCTCCTGACTCAAAGCTGCTGACTCGTAAGGACCTAGGCTGAAAGAAATAATTGCTCTTCATTATTTGCATTGCTTAGGCTTTTAAACCAACACCGTTCCTTTCTTTAAAGCTAAAAGACCTCCCCTGCCCTAAGCAAACCGTTACACCATTGAGTTGCCACAACTGTGTGAATTTCATCTGCCACAACCATAATCAAGGGATGTGTTCAGAGTTTACACTGAAAGTTGAGTAGCACCCTCTCCACAGTTCCACGTGTTGTGAATACGGGCATTATACAATTACTTACTCTTTGGTTCAAAATAAATGTTATAGGGTGTATGGACACTATTTATTTGCAGTAATGTTCATAAAAGTAATGCCAAAAGGCCAAGCAAAAATAAGTTGTTTATCATGTTTTAGCTCAGAAAAAGGAAATCCGATTCCTGAAGATACATACCCTTGTATCTTTTGCTGAGAAATCTTTAAAATTATAACTAAAATAAACAATTCACCTATATTCTTTTAAGCCAGCCATTTTAATTGGTTCCAAATTTGTGGTGTTTAGAATCCTATTGAAGAGATGATAAGTCAAATCAAATAACCGACATGAATTCTCCAAAAGGTTAAACTGCCGTTGGGGTGAGGCCGTCAGTGCTATTGGAGATAAGAGAGCTCCCTAAATCCATTTCTTAAAATCACCATTAATTGACTTATAATTCCCCTGCAGAGTTACAATAAATAAGATAACTGAGATCCTTTAATTATGTCCTGTAATCTTCCCAGATTCTAAGAAAGATTGTGAGAAGGCAGGCAAGTGGGATTATAAATACAATAAAACTTACATTTCAATTATCAGCGAGTAAAAGCAGCTCCAGAGGTTATCTTACCAACTCTTGTCTACGTGCAGAATAACAGGAATAAAAACATGTCTTACTAAGATGCAGCTGTCCAGCTTTTATCCGACACATACCCGTAATTGTTAATCGGTTGCTAGTATCTTTTCCCAGGACTAACTGATTCAATTCCAAGGTCAATTTCTACACTTCATTTAGCAAGAGGAGGTGTTTCTTGGGAGCTCTCAGGTCAGTGCTGAACTTTCTGTGATGCTGGAAATGTTCTAGATCTGTGCTGCTCCACGTGGTAGCCACTGGCCACAGTGGCTATTGAGTACTTGAAATGAGGCTAGAGAGAGTATGGAACTGAGGTTTTTTTCGCTTTAGTTAACTTAAACATCCACATGTTGTCAGTAATTACTGAACAGCACAGTGCTAGGTAGTCCCTAGCTTTGTAGGTCTAGCCGGCATCTGAAGGGGGCTGCAAGAAGTGGAAGGATCATAGTAGGGTAGGGAGGAAAGAGAATGCAATCCAAATGCTGAGCTGAGATTTTTTAATAGATGCTGATCAGTGGTTCTTTGTGGAGATTTAATAAGTGTCCATCAGAGCTATGCTCAAACTGGACTCTAAGTTTATAAAATAAAACTGCCTTCTGCCACCAGAGAGCTCACAGTCTAGTAGGCATCTGACGTCATATCTAAGTATTACAAATACATGTATACCTAGGAGGTCAAGGCAAGGCATAGGGTATAGCCTAACCCAGATGAGAGGACAGGCCAGGGAAGTAAGTGGGAAATTAATAGAAGAAGTAATATTTGAGCCTAACCTTAAATAGGAGGGCGAGCCACTGGAAACGGCAGAGAAGCACGTGCTCAGGGCACTGAGCAGGGCATGTACAAAGGTGCCAGGTGAGGTAGAGCTGGGACAGGTAGGGTAGAAAGTAAGTGGCTGGAGGTGATGAAAATCCAATCATGAAGTCTCACTTGCTGTGCTAAGGGCTTTGTATTTAATTTTAGAGCATGGATACTCAGGTTTTAAGGTGTGTAAGAATCTTCTGGGGACTACATATACTCAAAAGAGGATGCATTTTATTAGCTGAAAATGGAGGCTCAGAATTCCAATCACATTTCAGTATGATTGGACCAGTTACTTATTTTCTGTAGGCTTCTGTTCCTTAGCTGGGCTTATTCATGGCCAAACAAAATCATCAACCTGATACTATATTAAGCTCTTTTTGCAATTTTAGTGTGACATTAGAAACACATAAAAATAACGAATGCACTTATTAAAACCATGTTAAAGCCATACGCTAACAATAGTGTGGACTCTTCAAAGTATATTTGACTGGGTTGTGTAAAGCATACTCCTTGTCTTTAAGTCATCTACCTTGCCTGAAAGCACAGAGAAGTAAACTGAGGTCAGAAGACGAAGCACCTTGGGCCAATGGCTCATTTCTTAGTGGAGATCTAGGTTATTTTAATATTTAGAAACCACACCGAGCACCATCACACTAGAAGAGGACTGAAGTTTTAAATCACCATGTACCTTTTTGCAGATGAAAATTTGAAGCACATCACCACCCCCAAAGAAAGTCATCTTCCTAAAGTTACAGGGTTAGTGACAGAGCTAACTACAATGGGGCAACTTGACTGTAGCCTAGTATTTTTTTTTTTCATTTCCCTGCCTTTTTATATCCTATGCTTTCTTTTATTCTTTTCTTTTTTTTTTTTTTTAGAGTCATGTGAAGGTCAGACTGTTATTAACTCTGTCCCATAAATAATTTTTCACTGGTGCACGATATATATAAAGATGACATAAGTCAGTCCATATTTACCCTATGGTCTAAGCAGTCCCTAAAATGCAGCATGGAGAATATTAAAAATTTTTAATAGATGTCCACTTATAATTATCACAGAGAAAAATGGTATCTTTTAGAAATTTCTGCTTTAGGGCCCCCAATTTTAATACAACCATGATTTATCTTTGCTTTTTTTTTAGCTTACTTTCATCTCCACACATCGAACCAACTCTACACAATTAACAGTATCTCATAATCTTGCACAAAATATTAAGCAACCACAGTTACTCTGTAAAAAAACATGTACTTATTAAAATGAAGAAGCCAATCATGAACTTATCTTTGTATTTATAAATTGTAAAGGCATAACTGGATCCATAGGTAGAAAAAAACAAACAAATAAAACCTCCTGAATACAAGCTTTAAAACACTCTCTAAAAAGAAGAAATTATACTTAGTCCAGAATTTCCAGTTATGCTCACAACTTATGGCATTCTTTTCAGGGCTAGTCCTGGACATCTGTATTTTTGAAGGCTTTCCAGATGAATCTGATGCCCAGCTGGGTTTGAGAATCAGTGGTACAAACAAACTCTGCTGAGCTAGTTCTGAGTCGCTCAGTGGATCTATCATCCCGGGTGTGAGGCCTGATACTCATTTCATTTTTCCTATCTGCCTCCTATGTGACAATGACCTTATGTTAAGTCTCTGGTTCTACTGTTAAATTATTATCTGCATTAATTAAACTAGAAAACAGGATCTGGCCAGTTTATTGTCTATAAAATGTACAAAAAGGCTATGGTTGGTGGTGGCTATAGTCTGTCTCCCTCCTCATTTCACACTGGGTGCTGTTAGCCATCCAGCTCCTGGAGTTGGCCAGGAGAAGCCTGGGCTTTGTGCCTCAGTGAGCTCTTTATGTTGATTTAACGAGACAGGCAGCAATATTCAGGTGTGCTTCAGGGAAACTAAAACAGGCAGGCTGAATTTACATATTTATGAGACAAAACTGTTTGAACTTAAGTGTGCACGTGCACGCATGTGCGCACACACACACACACACACACAGAGAAATTATGTCGCTATGGTGTTTTCCTTTAAATGCTTTACATGAACAATATTTCCCAAGGTTGCATTATTGATAAACACAAGAACTACATCTGGAGGAAATCCTTTGAAATTAGATTCTAAATCCACATTAATGCCAAGTAAGTAATGAGTACCGAGAGGTACTGAATAGGAGGGCTGGGAGCAATGGAGAAAAAAAAAAACTAGTTGTTTTTCCTTTTTTCTTTCTAAGATGAGGCAAGTGCTTAATTACTTGCTCCCCCGATCAAGGTTTGTTTGTGTGTGTGTGCGTGTGCATGCGTGTGCACACCCATGTGAGACACAGAAAGAAAACACAGACAAAAACCTAGGTCTTAAATGTATTTTGTACATATCTTACCATTCCTCAACCTTTGATTTGAATTCACCAAAGGAGATGATATCAAATACACATGCATAAAATGGCTGCTCTAATTATTGCAGACATACAGGAGTAGGATGGACAAAAAGTCATGGGTTGTTCTACTCTCCTCTCACCTTCAGGCAGACTTTTATTTTAAAAATATACATATATCTGAGCTGATTTAACTTCCTAGAGAGAGTTGCAGATGTATTTATCAGAATACATCTTCAACAACTTGAAACTAAATTATGTTTCAAGGTGTATGAGGTATTTTGTTTTTGTCATTGAGAGAAAAACCAGTACTATTATTCAGATGAAGTATCCCCAGAGCAGAAGAGAAGCCCTGCAGGAGGTATAGGGTAGGAGGGCAGGGCTGGAAAGGGACAATGTTTCTGTTCCAGTACTAAAATTATCCACAGGACTACTGTTTGGTGGGACCCACACTGGTTCTAGGAAGACAGAAGTTTTGGGTCTGGAAGCTGTCCTCCTTGCAAAGTTTCCAGTGAGGGAGGAGGTTTTAAGTATTTTATTGAACATTACTTCCCATTGATCTATGAATGAAATGAAAGATGTCATCATGATCTTCAACCAGGCTTCTTTCTTGGTGAAGAGGACAGTCCTAGTTGGGCACATATGTGTTGTTATTTCTCTGAGACATGAAAGATGCCCTACAATAAACACAGCAGCTATTGTAACCAAGCTTGTATCTGTTTCCAAATCACAACAAACATTTTTATCAAAGTGATAATGGAGGCAAATTCCAGAAAAGGCAATTTTGGCAGAAATGCTTCTGGGAAATGACATATTACTTTTGATTAGGAAGTTAGGGTTCTATCAGAGTTACAGAACATGAGTCATCATGGTATACAATATTTTCAGCTCATACCACACAAGTTGGGGGAGCTAATATTAATGTGTGAAGTCTGCTAGAGGTTCAAAAAGTGAATTGTTGCTAAGGCTTTCTTAAAGTGGAAGAGTTTTAATAGATTAGTAACTATATAATTTTTCCCCTCTAATTAAATACCACATACAAAGCTGTGAAAAATATGACACAGATGATGTGGGATGTTAAGGTGGTTTAAAGGAACCTGGGCAGAAGGCCCTGAACCTGTTCACTTATCAAGGGAACAATCCAGAATGCTGGATTCTTTCAGAAACAAAATCCCGAGACTAAGACTGTGGACTGCGTGGTTGTGTTCTGAAAACCTACAAGTTATATTTTAATCTTTCTGTGGGCCAGTAAAGTTATTCAACCAGGGTTGACGATCTCTCACCATCCCAGGGGGAAGCATGGCCTTTGCTGCTCATGACAGCTGTCACATACATCCTGTCAAAAACAAGTACAGCCAAACCCAACTTTAAAATCAGCTTCATTCGATGTAATAGGAGAGAGAAAGAATCACTGGAGGTAAATAGATTATGACAAATGAGGTCAAAAGTATTTCTACTGGAAAACATTTCTCTGATGCAAAATTAAACTGTTTTAAGAAGTATCTCTAAATGATGAAATAAAGATATTTGGATTCAATTTAGAGGGAGCATACCATTTTCCCTAGCACTGATGAAGAAAGGATATTACCCATAGGAAAGGAGAGTGGTTTGAAAAGCTGTGTTTAGGGCCTCATTTTCATGACTTCCACTGCAATTCATATTCATCTGTGAACAGTTGAGCTGTTATAGAATCTGCTAGCAATCAACAGGAATGAAAATAGATTATCTGAAAGTCACTTAGTTTTTTCTTTAGGCAAATGTCAAACTCACTGGTATATAATATACTTCAGCATTATTCAAAGTGAGATCAAACTGATTATGAGGGCCGACTTCCAAGGCACTTGTGATAAACAGATTCTCACAGGCACAGTGGTCGGCAGTGGGTTACCCATATGAGCCAGGAGGCTGGAAATCCTCCAAGGTCCCCCTGTGTTTACTCCAGCTTACTCAGCCTTCAAAATGTGGCTAAGTTACTAAGCGTCCAACTTGAGTCATGACGCATTCAGTGGTAGTAATGACCTCAAGTGATTCTTTATTTTTGGTTGCTGAATGTCTGTTATGTATTTTATTTTGGAAAAAAAAATGTTATTGGGGCGGTGAAAGTAGATTAAGATGATCAAATAGCAATCTTAGGATGACATTTAACTACTCACGTTGAAGTTTTTACAAAATGGTGACCCTCTGCGAAAAGGCCCTTTTATGAGCAGCCATATATTAAGTGTGCCTTTCAAAATGATTTGTGCTACTTAAGAGATAGTCAGGGAAGGTTCAAGAACATAGGTTGGCACTGTATCATCTTTGCTGGCTTATGTTCAGGATTCAGGTCATTGTATCTCTTTTATTGGTAAACATGAGTTTTCCAGCTCAGTGTCTTAAAAGCTAGTTACTGAGGAAATGCTCTGCATAATGGACTTAATGATCCAGGACTGGAATAGCAGGGATCTGGGATGAGGTGTGTCAGGAGAGCTAGGCTATTTATATACGGGCAAAGCTTACACAGGCATTTCTGCATTATCTTTGCTGCTATTAATAAACTCGAACTCTTTGTGAGTAGCTAATTTAAAATGAGTCTTACGTGATTAAAAATGCCAAAAATGGAAAGGAACCTTGAACTATCTCTGCCCTAGTAGCCCTAATTATTAATCGACTATGTATCCAGGATATAATATGCCTGCCTGCTGCCGGGTGTGATTTCCAATTGTTGTACCCTAACTACAACCTTCATTTGGTTCATTTTTCTCACTGCCTTCTGCACATTGAATAACTCTTGCTGTTCCTGTGGCTCATGCCATTCTCCTTTCCTGACATGGTAGCCCTTTCTCTTTTGCTCCTGAATGACATCCATCCCATGAAGGTTCACAAAGGGCTCTTGGAGATTATTCTCTAATTTCTCTATTGCAATTGGCTCTCTGTTTTCTGAATTCTGACACACTTCTAAGTCAGTTTATAATTTAGCACACCATGTTCACAAGATGTGGTTATGTAACTCTTCTCTGTTCCTGAGCGCCAAGTACCTCACATCCTTGGAACTCAGCACATTGTTGGACATATGATAACACAGCTCTTGTTTCAGGACAGGTATTGCTGGCAAGCCAATGGTGTGGCTTCATTTTGCAGACCCTCAGCTACAGAATTCTCTATGGATAATGATCTCTAGGAAATCCCATGCATTTGTGACCCCAAAAGAAGAATTCTAGAGAAAAAGCTGACCTGAAATGCCCAAGGGGTATTGTCCACACAGTAGACTCTCAAGTTGTAATCCAGAGAGTTACAGGACATGCAGCCAAAAACAGCCACCTTGAGTTGCTTCACGGCACAATCTGTGATTGGCTCTCCAGTGAGGGCATATGTCCCAAAGCTGTCTAGGAGCACATGACATGCAAAGGGATCCAAAAGGCAGTAACAGGATGTGGATTCATCCTCCACTGACATCACTTCCTGTTGGGAAAAGGTGTGTTAGATTCTCTCAGCTTGGAAATGAGATGTGACTTGACAATGACTTTGCATGGACATACACATTTTTTTTTTTCAGAAAATTCTTATTGCACTCCCTTTCTTGGTGTCAAATAATCTTTTTCTAGCAAAGTAACTGTTTACATCAGGAACTTAATAAATAGTTCTATTCCATGTGTTGGAATTCTATAAAGTTACAACAAACCTCATTTCCAAAGATCTCCTTTTTTTTTTCAGTTAATTTGTTCAGTGCTGATTTTAAGAAAAATCTTAAATATTAACACCCAGCCAGTAAACTCAGTCTTGAAAAAGGTCTATTTTTAAAAATCTCTTTCCATATCCTTAAGGTAATATTTATTTTCTTTCAAATATTTTATCCTCTTTCCACCAAATTCATTCATGAGGGACCATTACACGAAGGGTTTTGATAACATGTACTAGAATATTTCACCCTCCCTGATAAGAACTTTGGTTTGTGTGACTGGTTGGGTAGAGCATAAATCTAACACCACCTGGATGCAAAGCTTGTGAGGAGGTGCTCGATGAAAAAAATAAAATAAATAAAATAAAATAAAATAAAATAAAATGGTAAAAATCAAGGCAAAGCAAACCATAATGGAACAGAGAGCAAAATGTGGCCCCTTTATGAAACCCATGGAACTTCATGCCTAGAAAATGTGCCCCTGCTTGTACTGAAGAAATAGGACTGAAGAAATAGGGCTGAAGAAATAGCAGAATGCATTTTCAACAAAGAGTATAGGCTAGTTGTAGAGATAGCCTGGCAGGGTGAATGTAATCCATTGTAGCAACTGGAAATTTCTTCTCCTAAAGAAACAAGATTTTCCTTTTACTACTTTTGCTTGAAGCACTTCCTGGGAGGGAAGATCCCAGGGCTAGCTGGAACAGGTCATTCTGTTCCAGCAAGATAATTCAACTGCTTTCATGCAAAGTGACTTCAGACAGACATCAAAGGGATCTCTATCAGACAGATAAATCAGAGGTTTCACTTAAAATAGTAATTCCAGGGCAATCATTGCTGTGTCTGTCTGCCTTGTTGTTACCCTCCTCTGAAGCTTCCTCATTTTCTTGTCTTGTCTCTCTCTTCTGTTTTCTCCTTGGAATGAATTGCTTTCATATGTATTTCTATACACAGGGCAATAGTCACTCAATGATTTTCATTGCATTTGTTAGTTCACCAAAATATACTTAGCAACCACTGGGTTGCTGAGCATTTCAACATGTTATAATCCCTATGATGGCAAAATGACAGAGAAGTTTCGTTCATGAACACAGCCTGTGTGCCCCGAGCCTCCTCCCAGTCTCCACAGAGGCCAGAGGGAAAGTCAATTCAGGTAGGGTCATGGTCTGGGAAGAACAGGAATAAAGGGTTTATGTACCGAGGATGGTCACATAAGGGTACACGTCTGTGTGGGTAGTTACAACTGGATTCTAAAACCAAACAGAAAAGCTCTGGATCCTCTCTTGCTTTCCCATCATCATGGAAAAAGACTTAACTAGCTAGGACATTGAGGATGCTGTAATACACATGCCACAAGCCCTCTGAAAAAACAAGGAAATGCTTCCAGATTTTCCAGCAGACTCGTGTTAAGAGAGGGTAAGGTTAAATCTATCCCCACAGCTGGGAGCCAAATCTTAATTTTTCTTAAAAGGAAGAATAGGGTCTCACCTCCCACTTGCCCTGCTGTGTCCTCTTCTTTAAATGGATGTTCCAGTGCTCAGAACTGACGTCCGCACAGTGTGGTATGGTCAATGCAAAGGGAGTGGTGACAATCATGTCTGGGGGGCCACAGGTGACTTCAGGACTCAGGAGCACCTCGGATCCATCTGACTGGAGGCTTTACGGTTGGAAAAGGATACAAGAAGCGCGTAAAGAAGGGGGCATGTTTAAATAAGAATATAGTCATAGACTGGCTGAGGAAAACAGTTTCCCAGGATTCCCTCCTGGACGGCACCACACCTGCTCAGGGCTGGTCTGGGCAACAGCCATTTATTCAAGACTGCTCAAGCACTCGGACTGAGTTTAGCTTAGATTTCAAATCTAGGTTTCAACAAACAAAATGACAGGTATGTCTTCAGAAATATAGAGAACAGCAGAGAGCAAAGACCTGGCTGGTGTGTTACACACCAGCTGCTAAATCCTTACACTTGCTGATAACATTATCAATGACCAAAGCCAAGAGCTTTGTAGGAACAACTGATCTGGTAATCTTCCCATCAGATTCTTTTCTCCCAACAACACCTTCTATGAACATTTTTAGTGCTAATAAGTGATAAAACAAATTATTTCATAACAAAGCACACTTTAGACATACCCAGATTGAGTATGTCACTTCTGGTTTTGAAAACATTTGTTTTCTGCCAATGTACAAATACATGAGTTATATAGCAATAGCATAAGTAGACAGTTACAAATGTGTAAAATAACATACATAAATATATATCTTTCAACCCTTTCCTATTTTAGTTCTAAATTTAAAGTCATTCACCCAAACCTAGTGTTCAGGTTTTTCTGTATTGTGAATTATTCACAATGGAAATACAGAGTCATGAAACAGATACAGTGAAATTTAACTAAAGGGAAAGGATATCATTGAATATTTCTTTCATTTTCTTCTCCTTTGGTTTTAATCTCTGTCCCCAGACGGTAAGGTGGACTGGTTTATATGACAACGGGCAATGAGAAGAACCCAGAAGTCTGCTCATTCTTCCCCAGCTGTTTCTGGATTTTTGAACAAGCTATCTGATTTGGGGGGGGGGGGTCCTTGTAAGAATTACAGTGATACAGAATATAGTCCATAAAGCAATGTAGGACTCTCAGATGAACAATGCTACAGGAGAGTTGTTGAGATTGGTATCATTATATAGAACTTTCCTCTTACTTGACCTAGGAAGGGCATTTAAATGTCATCCCTCATTGCAAAAGCCACCCATTGAGCAAGATAAAGATGAAATTTAGCACCAAAGGATACCCTTTTCCACGGTATTATATAAACAGAGTTTTTCTATGAGTGTGTTTCACATGTTATTAGTTTCTGAGTTGCTTTTGTTGACATTGCTTGTTCTCTCTGAAGTTGGGAATGGTCATCCTGGAGCTACTATTCATAATTTGCTGTTACATTAAAAGTCCAGACACAGAAGCACCTGGGTGGCTTAGTGGTTGAGCGTCTGCCTTTGGCTCAGGTCGCGATCCCAGGGTCCTGGAATGGAGTCCTGCATTGGGCTCCCCACTGGGAGCCTGCTTCTCCCTCTGCTATGTCTCTGCCAGTCTCTCATAAGTAAATAAATAAAATCTTAAATAAAAGTCCAGACACATAGGTGGGCAGGAACATCTTCTATCTACTGTATCTAAAACAGACCTGAAAGTGAATACAGTATCCTCCCCCTTCAGAAAGGCCTGAAGACGGAGTCACAAAATTCAGTCTTCCACAGAAGCCGCTGCAGTCCAAAGCTGACAATTCTTCCCATAAAACCAGGGTTCAGGGAACTGAAAATCTGTCTGCATTTATTGTTAAGCAGAGCGGGCAAGCAAGGGGGCATGGGTTGCAAAGTAGTGTATTAGCAATAACAAATGCTCACTGAACAGCCTAGAATGATATACTTGAGGTTGGGGGATGAGGGTGATGTAACATTCCGGTATGAGCTAGAGGCAGCACGAGGTGGCAGCCTGCGTGTGGATACCTGCCAGGGGCCGTTAGGAAGGTGACACACTCTCTGTGTAATTGCCGCTTGCATTCATCACAGATAGGAATAGCAGGGATGCTTTTGAGTGACCGATGACAAGCTCTCCTAAAAGAACTATTTAATTGCTTTTGGAGAATCATCCCCCTTGTTGAACATATTGTTCAAACATATGGGAATTTGGGGAATTATTTAATGCCAAATGAGCTGAAATCAACTAATTAGATGAACTCTCACACTTGTGAATAGCAAGGCTCCTTTCCGTAATAACAAATAGCATTAGGAAGCAGAGGCAGAGCAGCCCAGTCTCAGGCAGAGCGGGGAATGGGAGCTTTGCCTTAAGCAGGCACTGGGCATTTCCACAAGTACAAAGGAAGTAAATCAAGATTTATATCTAATCCTCCTACTGTGAAAACAGTGTCTGTGGGTATAGGTCTCTGGTGAAGGAACATAACTTAAATCTCTCTTGTTCTTCTCTGTCATCTTCTAGCTATAGCAATCAAGGAGATTTGCAAAAATTAAAGATCTTCACACACCTGTGGAGGCAGGTGTTAACAGCATAAGGTCACAGAGAAGTCCATCAAAGCGCTGAGCTGCAAAATACACCCTAAATTTCTGACTCGTATGTAGGCCCCTGCTCTCTGTGACCAGACGTACTTTCCTTTTCTGTAACCACTAGCAGATTTCTGGTCAAGCTGCTGGCTCTTGTGACATCCCGAGTAAAGATAGGGAGAAAATCAGTCCAAGTGTAGTCATGGATACAGACTTAGGACATGTGAGGACAGAGGTCTGAGGAGAGGAGCCTTTTATTGGGCCTGGGCAAAAATATCTATCATAAGGATAGTTATGAATGACATTTCAGTTCTTCCATAGTCCATATGACAAGGAAGTATTCACATTCCTGCTAGGAGAAAAAGAAAAAGGCAAAATATTTTTCTAAAATTTCTGTGAGTTAATGATAACTGTGAAGTAGTAACAGCAGCAATATTAGGGCCATTGTAGGCACCACCTCAGGCATTATATGGTCTAGTGTAGATGAAGAAGTCTGGGGTGTCTTCAAGTTTTGCTACATTTCTCTTGTGTTTGATCTATCTGTCCATCCATCCATCCATCCATCTGCTCTGCATATTTATGAACACTTATGGATCTAAAAAGATTGATAGTTTAAGAGGCAGTTCAGTGTAGCCAGGTGGTTTGTTGGGCAACTGTATGGTAACTGGGTCATGAATTCAAATTTCAGCTTACACAGTGCAGCTGAGGGTTCTGGGGAAAACTCTGCCAGCTTTGCAGTGTTGATGCCCCCAGCCACAGACTATCCATGGAGGGAGAGGGTGCTCATCACAGTCACAAGAGCATTGTGCCTAGTAATCCCATAAGATAGAAGGACTCATGTTGCTACTTTGTTTAGTACTAGAAAGGGAAGACATGAGAAGGAGAGTTGCAGAAAACACAAGAAGTGGGTGAAAGAACATCCTAATGTCCTACTGTGTCCTCACTGTACTCTACACAGCATTGCCCTCGATACCACATTCCTTATCTGACTTTTTCTGTCATGAAAACCTCGGTTTGGCAGAAAGGAAAGCCCAGGTCTTTCTGGGCTTCCCTTTCCTAACATGCAAAATAACGCCTACTCTAAGATTGTAGTGAGAATTAAAACAAAACAAACATTAAGAACACCTAATATGTGCTCAGTGGGTGGAGGTTCTGTTTCTCCAATTCTGAATACTCACCTTTCCTGCCTTTTCATGAGCCCTATTTTCATAGGAACTGTGCTTTTTGAGATTGCTAACGGATTCAGTAAATTGTCATTATAGCAAGGTAGGCTTTAACAAACATTTCATGGCCTTGGAAATGGGTACTGTTAAGGAATTTAAGGTATCTCAGCAATCCTTCCTTACCTCCCATGATCTATTCTCAACTCAGCAATCAGTGAAACCCAATGTGCTCCCACCTCTATGAATCCCAGCTATTGTGCTGCTCTGGAGTGTTCCTCACTGACTGGAAGGTTTCCTCCAGGAAATGATGAGCTCTCATGCCACTCTGGTCTTTGCTCAAATGACGCTACTAGTGAGGCATTCCCAGACCATTCCCAAGACCAACACTCATCTTTGTTTTTTTTTTTCCTCCACTACATCTAACTGGCCTCTAGTACACTAATACCATTTATACATTTATTTTAGTCTCCCACAAGTGAGAACGTAAGCTCTATGAGGCTAGGGATTTTTTTTTTCCTGTTCATCATTGTATTTGCAATGTCTACTAGACGCCAGTTGTAAGCACTCAGAAATATTTCTTGAGAAGGACAGAAGAGTTAACTTGAGGTTGTTCTAATTGGTCAAAAACTGGAACATTTTGAGTATCAAAGTAAATAATGGTAGTATGGGATTATAACCCATTGAATAACATAACTCTTGAGATATATGGATATATGTGAATGAATAATGAGAAGGGAAAACTCTCCTATGCAACAGGAAGCCAACTAATAAATGGGAAAATCATTTGGCAACCAACCATATTCCAACCAATAATACACAACCTGAATCTAATCCCAGGAAACTATCAGACAAGCCCACACTGAAGGGCACTGTGCAAAAGAACTGATGCACACTCTTAAAAATGGTCAGTGTCATAAAATAGAGACACTTAGGAAATGCTTCATAATACAGGACTGAAGACACGTGGCAATAGAATGTAATGAATGGACTTGGATTTTCATTTGCTATAAAGGACGTTATCTGGATAACAGGCAAGATATGAATAAAGTTTGTGGAGTAGATAATAGAAGCGTATCAATGCTAATTTCCTGATTTGAGAATTGTGCTGTGGTTACATAACAGAATTCCTTTCAGGATATAGATACTGAAGTATCTAGGGACAAAAGGACAGCTTGTTCATAATAGTTACGTGAATAGGCATATGTGTATGTACGTCGATCTGTGCTTTGTGTGAATATGTACACACGTACACAAATTGACAAAGAAGAGGACGGAATACGGCAAAGTAAAATGTTAACACTCGTGAATATACCTGTGGGTTGGCTGGAAGTAATATTATTCTTGCAACTTTTCCCTAAGTTTTTTTTTTTTAAGATCTTATTTATTTTATCAGAGAGATAATGCAAGGGTGGGGAGGAACAGACACAGAGAGAAAGAATCTC